TCATGTATTTTTTTTTTATATGATACATAATTTAACTGTTTAAATAAGGCGTTGTATGTTATAACAAATTTATAAATTATGATTTATAATAGTTAATAAGTAGGTACTACAAATTAGTAAAATTATTTATATGGTGCACATTAGTTTATTTTATAGATAGAGTTCAGAGGTTAATATCATAATAATATATTATATTAATAAATAATTATTATTATATTAATTTATTATACTTTTCAATAAATTTTATAATTTTATTACTTCAATTAAATATTATAATAAACATCTGTGTATGATTATTAATTATTATTAATACTAATTTAATAATTTGGAAATTTTATAAAAATAACAAACTTTTTTGTTGTTTTTATCTAAAATTTACGTTTACAATTTTTTTCGACAACTATTAAGTACAAATAATCAATTTTAAAAATATAATATGTTTGGACTATAAGTTGCTTACCGTCTTCTGTTTCTGTTGAGCTTCTTAAATCCTTCAGTGAAGTAGCTAAATTAGGATATACACAGTGCCGAGAGCGCATTTGTTCCCAATTAGATTTAGCATTATATATTATATTATCGCGACCTTTTTTCCCAGGTTCTTGCATAGAATTTGCTGCTACACATTTAAGACTTTCTCGAGTTTCTTTCCAAATCACAGCAGTACGTCTCATCTGATCAGTCACTTGAGTACGATTTAGTGCTTGAAGCTGAGATAGATGTGATACCAAAAATGATACACATTCTTCTACAGCTGACACAGGATTATTATCAATAGCTAATTCTTGGAGCTTATTTAAATGCACTAAACTTGGCATATCGTCAATACTAAAAATATATAAATAAAATTGGAACATAAGATTAGGTTTTTAATATTAGGTACATAATTTAAACATTTAAACTTACGTGTTAATTTCATTGTTACTTAGAAAAAGTTTCGTTAATTGTTGAGTTTCTGAGAATCCTAAAAGACATTTTAAACGATTTCTTCGAAGATTTAGTTCTCGTAACGATCTTAGGCCAGTAAGGTCTAACGAACCCAATACTTTGATTTGATTACCAGCCAGATTCAAAACTTTTAATTCACCTTGACTTTGGAGTCCACCTACTTGAGTTAATTGGTTGCCATGCAAGTCTAAAACTTCTAATCGATGTAACGTTTTCAAACCCTCAATGCGTTTAATTCTATGTAATAAAAATAAAATACTATAATATATATTTTAACAACCATAAGTAAAATAATAACAAAAATTATTAGATATGTACCGATTTTTCCCTAATAAAAGGACACGTAGATTACTTAAGCTTTCGAGACCTGTAATTCTCTCCAGTTGATTTCCATATACGTCCAAAAAAACTAGTCTAGATAAACCAGCTCCACAAATACCATCTAATTTTGTTAGTAAATTGTGTTGCATTGATAACAGTCGAAGTCGAGCTTCGCCAGTAATCACAGGAACACTCATTAAACCTCGTCTTATTTAAGAAAAAGTATAAATATATTCATACTATTAAAATAAGTTTAAATAAATACCTATCTAAACTCATCCGTTCTGGATTACGACTCTTGACATATTGAGACCTAGTAGCTTGAATTTTTCCATCGGTCAACGTTTGTAATGATACCAAGTTTGTGTTGCTCATGTTTTCATTTAGATTATTATTGTTACTTTAAAAATAAAAACTAATTACTATAACCACGTTTTTATTATGTACATTGTATATAAAAGTAATTTAAAAAAATATATATACATATATAAATATTAAATATACACTATATTTCTATAATATTACTTGACAATAGATGATCGTTTCTGATGAAGCCGAGGCTGCAAAGCTGCTGGCAGTAATGGAATGTTGGTGCATGTTTGTCTACGTTGTGAATTTAAACTGCCATCGATGAGTTCCTTATTACTCACTCCAAATACGGCAAAATCGGGATTTTCGTGCTTTAAACATTGAATAAGAACATAAAATACTTATTTAAATATTTAAAACTAAATATTATAGGACTAAGGAGTATATTATTATGTATATACTCAGTTATTTAATGTATTTATATTATTATTTATTATGTAAATTTAATAACATAATAATAATAATAATATTATTATTATTATATATATATATATTAATATAATCGTACTTACGTTCAAAATTCCGTTGTTCGGCGACATAAAATCAGAAATTTGTGTATTTGTCGCCATAGCAAAGTAGCGTGTGTGTAGTCATTTCGATTTGTATAAAAGGGTTCTAGCACGGCACCATGTCATGATTGTTGTGCCAGGCCCCTTCTACTTTTAATAAAACCTGGTCGATTTTTATTTACATACAATAAAGGTCGACGACATCCCTACCATGTCAAAAATTACCTAATTTACTACACATAAAATGCATATAAATAATATGTATATTATCATAGTTTATATCTATCTGTCTTATATTACAAAGTTTTGTTTAAATTTATATTTTTTAGTATACAATGCGTAAATATATATGCTAGTGATGGTACTTAAATCATTTTAATTTTTAAAATAATCTTTATTTTCTGAAAATTCCTAGTCCTTAGTAGAATCTGAGTATAATTGGCTGTTTGAGTACTAATTTTAATTGTTTTTTTTTTCAAAACTATAATAAATAGCAATAAATGAATTCTCCTTTCTCTTCACCGCCTCTTCTTGTCAAAATTAATGTTTTAATCTCACACTCAGTCATACCCTATCTGGCTTTTTGTATTTCAGATACTTCAGTACTTCATTAAATAACTATATGAGATAAATCATTTGTATCTTAAAAAAATAATTCTAGTATAAATATTACATGGTTTTAGTGATAAATACATAAATTATTAACTTTTATAATGTATTGTTTATTAGCTAGTAACTAACGAAACAATAAATAACTATGCATTTTTTAATAATTATTTACTTCTTAGTTAAATTTATAACGAAGTTTAAATGTATTAATAACGTACTTTATATAAGTAGATAGTAATACCCTAAAAGTATATAAGTGTTATAAGAGTAATATTACGTCACACGATATTTTTAAGGAATTAATCATGAATTATAATATAAGAGATTTATGAAAACCCATTTCGAAATTAAAAGTGCTCACTATGCACATTACATAGAAGATTTCTCATAGTCACATGAAAGGTTTTTTAATATTACATAAAAGATTTTTCATTGTAACTTAAAAGGTTTTTCAATATTACATAGGAAGTTTTCTAATGGCGATTGATGTTACATAGAATGAAGATATTTTGAATAATTGAATAAAAATAAAATTACTTAAAATATTTTATTGATCAACTGGAACTACTTTTGTTATATTTATTTTAGAAACAAATTACAATAAAAATATAATTATTGCATAAAACGAAAATGTTCATTTTAAGGATTTTAACTATCTATCAACATTTCTAAAGTATTATGTTATAATTAAGTAACAACTAACAAGTAATAGTAATTACTAATTACTAATTGGTAATATCTCTTTTTTTTGATTTAAGACAAAATATTAATGTATTCATTGAATAACAAATTATTAATTACTTTATAAGTTTAATTTAGTATCAATTTTTTTTAATATTATGATAAATATAATTATTATCAAAATTCAAAAATCTCTTATGTATCAAATGTCATACTACATGACGCTATATCGCCTATATCCTACCATTGCGTACAATACCTCTTATGTAATTTTAACAGAATTTAAAAATTTAATATCACATAGGTGATATTTTATAAATGATTCATTGTAGGTAATACATAGAGCCGATCATAGGAATAGATAAGTTAAGCGACTTCAGAGTTCAGATATTAGTTTTTTAATAATAGTTTTTGTAATTCAATTTTTTAATAATTTGAGTAAAATTATCAATAATAATGTAAAAGTATTAAAAGTATTTAAAAGACTAAAAAGCTGTTATTGGTATAATAATTCTTTTAGGATTAATTTAAAGTAAGTTTGTAAATTTCAAGAGTTTTCGAAAAGTAAAGTTGAAATTACTGAAAAAATATACATATTTTTATACTGTAGTAGATAGGTGTAGACGTGTAGTAATGTGTAGTGCTAAGTAATAAAATTTTTATATAATCAAAAATTGATGTTGGGAATGTTTAATTTTTTCTATAGTTAAAAAAAAGTACATATATATGATAGGAAGAAGTGTGTTTTTTTGTTTTTAAAAATAAGATGGACTAAGAAATTTTTGAAATATTTTGTTTAAAAGTGCATATTTTGCCAAAAATAACTTATTTTTGTATATTGTTTAAACTTAAGAGTATATCAAGTGTATATATTAAAATTTTTTTGTGCATGGATACATACTATTTTGAGCTTTTTAAGTGCACATAATTCCAAACTCTATTCATAATAATATATACCATTTAGAGTTTGAAAATCAATATCTTCTTTATTTAAAATTATTTTGAGGTTATCTTTTACATGTTTCCTTGTGATTTAATTTCCACTGAATAGTTGTCTACATCTTAATGTTTGAGCATTTAATTACTTTTTTATTATCATTTTTTGCAACTATACCACAGATATTTTCGTATGCTTTTAAATTACGAGGATTCCCAAAAACTTTTTAGCACATATTTCATGTAAGAAAAGACGTAGACACAATTTATTAAAGAAAAAACTTCAAAAAAAAAAAAAAAAAAAAACTTAATAAAATATAATAAAAAATAAATAAATATTAATTACATTGTGATAAGATGATATTTGAAAATGCGCGGGTGATTAGAGATGTTCAATTTAGCAATGATTCGATTGGTCGCTGAATTTTTTTTTTTTTTTTGTTATAATATGATACGATTGTGATACCATGCAAATGGTCAACACTAATGTTTGATAATAATATATTAACATGTAAATGTAAGTAGTAAATACTAAATACTAAGCAAAGTTAAATAATTGTGAAATTGAAATGTTTGAATTTTAAAAATTTTGAAATTTTTTAATTAACAATTGATAATTATTAGTTTAATTATTTTAGTTAAAAATATTTATTGGACAATATTAAACAAATTTATGATGTTTAAGCTAATTAAATTAAATTATGTTCGTAGTTGTGTTCATATACCGAATAATTCATATGCATCACCTAGTGGTAAGTTATACTAAACATTGAATCTATACTATCTATAAAGTATACTCTGGTCCAAAATTGAATACTTTATTCTTGAGTATTGATGTAACTGCAGTTAAAATAAACTTCTATTTTATTACACATGTGTGGGCTTTATTATCTAATATAAAAATAAAAAAAACAATAATTTTTTTGGTATTAACAATAATTTAGACTAGCTTATTACAGATATTATGTTAATTTTTGATGGTATAACTTATAATTTATAATTTATAATGTCAATGATATGTAGTAACTAATAGTTATCTAGGTATTGTGTTATCAACTATATAAATAATAAATATGTGATTTCTACCGGTTTTCAACATCATTTTAAATTCAAATTTCTAAAAGCTGTAGGAATTAATATATAATATACTTTTTTTTCTATTTCTATTTTATTTGTCATAAGTAATGCAAAAAAAAGATAAAATTCTCATAAAACTTGTTAACAGTTATACAACTAAAATATATTTTTGATTTTTGTATATAAATTTTTTTTTTTAGTTTGAATCAGCCTCTTCAAGTCACTATAACATTAATTATACTTAAGTATTTAGTATACATCCTTACAATAAAGCTTGCGTATTAGTTATTTCATGTTTATGTTATATTAACAGTTATTAGTTATACTTTCTCCTTTTATGTTTCAGGAATTATTTCATTGGGAAAGTCTAAAAAAAAACTGGGCAAAGGAGGTCCAGTTTTAGAAAAATCTGAAATTCCTGTTGAAACTGATGCCAAAAAATTAATTAATTTTGTATGTGGGAGTAATATACTAAAAGAAGGGCAAGATGTAGAAATAAAGCCTAACTCAGAATACCCAGACTGGCTTTGGAATTTGAATATAGGTAATATTATAAACAACAGTTAATTTAGATCTTATTTAAATAATCAAAATAAATTGTATATCACTTACTTGAATTATTTGCTGTCAAAGTTTAATTGATAAAGTTGTATTGTGATTTAATTTTACTAAATTATTAACATTTCTATCATAAATCTTTTTTAATTATAATTTTTAAATGTATCTAATTTAATTATATTATAATAATTATAAATTATACCTTTTCATAGAAAATAATTGTTATATGTGCTATAAAAATTGTTTACAATAATCATGATAACTATGATTCAAACGAGCCATGGCTATAACTAGTACCTATAAATTAAAAAATAATTCTTATATTAAATTTAATTTTAGGTGGACCAGTACCATTACAAGAATTGGATCCTAATTCAAAACAATATTGGCTCAGAGTACGGAAATTAGCAATGAGAAGGAATAACTTACTAAATAAATTAAAAAGGTTTTAGGCATATTATATAATATGATAGATTTATAAATAGTGATAACACTAATTAATGTTTATTTTTAAATTCAAAATACATTTTTATTGTTCAATAAAAAAAAAGTTAAATTTCTTGATTTATGATTATTGTCAAGTATTATAATATATCTTTTGTCCTTTAATAATTTTGTTATGATACATATTATCAATTTAATATGGTATCATGTATTTTTTAATTTTCTTTAAAATGTTTAAAATATTTTAAACACATTAATATCAATAATATCATGTATTATTGAAAAATAAAAATGTTTATAAGTAATTTTTAACTTATAAAAGTTATGTAATTAGTATGAAAGTTCATTTGGTAGGTTAATTTTGTAATTTAATATTTTGTTGCCTATATTATAATTAAATAAATAAGAAAACTATAAGGCAATAGAAATCGTAATCATTGTCTAACAAAGTTGTTATTCACAGACAATATTTTTAAAAATAATTATAATATGAAATTGTATTTATTCTCTCTCTTGGAAAAAAATATCTAGTTGAATGAAAGTTTTAGATTGGACTTAGGCACAATAATAATAGAATATAAGACGTATTTAATATTAAAAATCTGGTGATGCAATAAGTATAAAAGTTATCTCAAATGTAAAAAATACAAATTTAATTTTTAAAAGGATTTTTTATTGCTCCTCTCATTTTTGAAATTCTGGCTTACACGTTACACCACTGAGTCGAATGTTGATAATTAATATTAGGTACTTGAAAATAATAAATACTATACATAAATAACAATTCTATTTTATACTCAATTATACACTGTAACTCATGTCTCATAAAATCATGCCATTATCTAAACAGTAAGTAATAATTGCAGTATATTTTAATATATTATATCATATTACCATAGTAATAAGTAATAACTAATAACTATAAAGCCGGGTCTCAGCTCGCTAAATCGTCCGTTGTCCATCATTGTGTATTCCGTGTATGGTATTCTGAATAACAATTGTAATCACGGTATAATTCACTAACCATAATCTACCGTGAGTTGGGCCGAACTCAACTTTAAGATATGACATGACAGACGATGTAGCTGTGAACTTTACAGCTTGTGTAAATCCGACTTAATATTCAATAATTTTCCATGATCTGGGTAAACTACATTAATGGATAATATTAAAATAACTCACCGACAGATAGCGCTTTAAATACTATTTCAGATTATTGTGTTCTTTAATTAACAATTTATTGAAAGTGGTAATAATTTATATTATAATGAAATTATAATTATGTTATTATGATTTTGGAAATCCCAAAAATGTTTACGGTGAATGGTGAAACAGCTTTTTTTGTTAGTAGTTACGAATTTGCGATACAGACGTCAGACATGTGCAAAATGATTAATTTTGCAAATATATAAGAAAATCAGTTTCTAATGTTTCTATTTACCATTCGCATGATAAAATAGCGATGTATGTATTAAAACATTTAAACGTTTATAATTTCACCATGAGACATCAGACAGGTGAATCAAAACAATAAAAAAAATAAAATACTATGTACTAGGTATATGGTTAGTTTACTACCAATATCTTGTTTAAAAAAAAAATACTTGTTTTTCGATTTATTGCAAACTGCACAAGTATAAAGTCTGTTATAAAACTAAGAAATTTAAAAATGTTTCTATTCATAGATTAAATTTCACACCGTTTTACAGTTCCTACTAATATAATGTTAAATATGACCAAAATACGAGCATTTCCTTTCAATCGATGCGTAAAACAGTATCAGTTAATACTTAATAGACAATATAGTTATATCGTTATATTGCATACGCAGTCGTACAATGTCACGAGTAGAAACCCTGGCGTCAATGGGTTAAGATGGGCGTAGGCATTGTATTGACGATTACACTTTCAAAAAGTGGATACTGATGAATCATCAGTGATGATGTTCGATGAAGTCTCAGAACAGACAGGGCCACAGAAAACAGAAGACAAGGGGCAGGTCTTGTCTAAAACGTACTTTACTAGTTAGTGCGTAATTACTGCATTATTCATACAGACGAACAGTGATTGCGTAAGTACTACATTATGTGTATTTATAATAATTGTATGTACAGATTATGATAATAAAAATGTTAAATTAACATAAATCGAAATGAAAAATAAGGTACCTAACAATATAAAAGTGATAATAAATAATAACTAGGGCTGTGAATTTAATGCATTAAAAAACCTTAAAAAATGCATTTAAAATGCCAAAAAAATGCAATAAAATATGCATTTAAAATGCAAAATATGCACTTAGAATGCAAAAAAAGGAATATAAAATGCCAAAAATTATAGTATAAAATTCATTTAAAATGGTTTTTAATTTAATTTTTATATTTATATTAATATTAGGTACAGGATATTAAATATTAGTATAAAAAATGTTTATTTAATAAAAAAGTTAAAAAAATTGACATAATATATACAACCTGTGTAAAATAAAAAAAAGTTTTCAAACAAGTTAATTGACAGAATTTGGTTAAAAATACTAGAAAATGAACTAAAAAAAGCAAAATATGATCTAAAAATGCGAAAAAATAACCTAAAAAATTAAAAACGTCAAAAAATGCAAAAATATGCAAAATAAAAGTTTCATAGATGGATTCGTAATTACATAATTCAAATTATGTACTTATAAAGTTATGTTTTACAATCACCAAAAAAAAAAATGCACTTTCCTATAAATTCACAGTCCTGACTCCTGGTAATAATTATTAACTAGGTACCTAAAAAAAATGTATCACTCGTACCTATATACACCGTTTTCATGATATAACGTATGTACCTATGCTGTTAGTTGTTGCCTACATTGATAAATGATAATTGATTATGATTTTAAATAATAGTTACTTATTGAATTAAATACTAAATCAGTTTATAAATTGTATTATATAGGCCATGTATCTAGCCAGCTAGAAGCTACATATACCTACAGTATAGCTGTATAGGTGTATAAATGTGTAATATGTAATGGGAACGGCACAAAAAAAAATGCTGAATTATTGTTTGATTGATTTTATTAAAAATAACTAAATATAACTTAAGCTCCTTTTATTTATAAAATGTATTAATTATACAGGTATGTTAATAACTCTGGTACAGTGGAGAATACCTATTGATTATTATTTATTAACTATATAGATGTATTAATGGGTGCCCGTTGATTCAATTTTTTTTGTTAGGGAGGGGGGAGAATTAAGTATGTCAAAAAAAGTCTCAAAATATAAACTAAATAAACTTTTAATCTGCGATTAATCTTGCGTATAACTACCTAGTCGTCAATATGACTAAATAAATATATAATATATATTATTATAACTATATATAAATATATTTTATTTCAAATCCCTTTAGTGATAAAGAAAATAATTATTATAACTATATATAAATATATTTTATTTCAAATCCCTTTAGTGATAAAGAAAATAATTATTATTTTAATACTCTTTAGGTAATTAGATAATATCTAAAATGATAATACTTATTTTAAGATCATATTATTTTTCCATGGGGGGGCATGTTCCCCGTTTTCTCCCCCTTAATAGTGGCCCATGGGTGTATTTACAAATTGTGTGCTGGATATTTCATTACAATAATTAATATTAATTATTTACTCAATTCTAACAAAAATATTTTGAAACATATTAATTAGATACTATAAAAATACTCGAGTAGGTATAAGTATAATCACGTCTTATTATGACTTATGTCTACGGATTTTGTATTGGATCTTCCTGGAATTTTATCATTATAGTATCGCAACATCAAGTTAATAATAAATAAAGTATTTATATGGTTATATTCAAGTTCTGTCTGTGATTGAATGTAAAAGTGGTATTGAGTGTACCTTGACCTAGGAAGAAAATAGATTTTTTATTATAATCCAATTTAAAAAGGCATGAACAAAGAACGAGTTATTCTGTATAAGCCATAAAAATGTGTTAACTTCCCATAAGTATATTTTAATCTGTAAAAAATTACATTAAAAATTAAAAATTCTTCTTCATAATATTTAATTAACTTTTTAAACTTAATGAAAACTCATTATTTAGTAATAAATCATCGTCAGATCGTCTCTGGTCTCATCATTAATAAAACAATGAATCAATTATAATAATTATTATTTATTTACTAGTTATAGCCTGTATGTAAATAAAGTACATTGATTTTATTTAATTGTGGCTTATATGAGTTTAAATAATTAGTAAATAATTAGAGTTCTAGAAAATTGCACAAATATAACTTTAATTTTTAATTATTAAAATAAATTTTTGAGCATTTGATAATATTCAGTTTATTATAGGTATTAATAAGATACCTACCTATATGGCTATTATATAAACATAACTGATGAATTTGACTTATTACTGCAGGTGCTTTTTAGAAAATATTTTATCGGATGTTCTTTTATACACTTGAGTACCGAATTTTATATTTACATTTTAAGCAAAGGTTAGGGTAGGTTATATATAGTTTAAATAACTCTTTTTCATAATATTTTTAGCATTAATTAAGTTTACCTATTTAATAAAATATACCTATGTAGTTTGCACTTAGGCACTTTATAGACAATAACTGATGTACTTCCATAGTTCCATGTTATTTTAAAGTTTAAATATAATATATATGTTGGTACCTTAACTATAAATATACCTTATATATAGCTTAAATTGTTTATTTTTTGAATATCTATCTAAATAACATTGTAATTTGTATACTTATATTTCCAGTTAACTTTAAAGCCAATTTACTACGAATAGAAATTCAAAAATATTAATTCATCTTCAATGTTTTAATTCAGTTTTTTGAATACAATATTTACCTACACTACTATAACTGTAATAAAAATGTACATATTATAGGTGTGACAGATTATTATATATTTGTATCCATGTAAACATGAAACTATAACATCATACCTAGATATTATTTGAAAAATCCTGTTTTAATTCTAGATACATTTTGTGAGTTAGTGACGTATAATCTTAACAATTCCACTACGAT